GTTTGTAGCATTTATCTGTAAAAGCAGATATTGTAACCCAATTATACCAAGAGGTGAAAGATTTTGTATTAATTGTCAAAATGTCGTTGAAGATGAACATCATTTTTTATTCGTATGTCCTCTTTATAAACAACTAAGAAGTGAATTTTGTACACTTTTTAATAATATATGTATATCTTATGAAATTCTTAATCCTGCAGATGTTACATCTACAAGAAATATTTGTAATTTCATACGTGATGCTTGTAATATAAGAAAATCTATGTGACTATATATTTTATATTTGTTTACTGTATGTATGACTTGCGCCACATGTGGTTTTTGTCAAATTGAATAAATTAAAAAAAATAAAACTAAACATTATTTTGTTTGACCTTTAAAAAGATAGATATGTATTGACCGTTTTCGAACTGTTTTAGGGCCTCAGTTCTGGAACGTTTATAAATTTGGTTTTTGCGAATCCGTATCTTTATGTTTAAACTTTAAAGTTCCCAAATTGTTTTTCCTTTACCACATTGTACATGTCTGAAAACAGCATATGTGAAAAGAGAATGGAAATAATCTTTTTAAGCTGATAGAAGACTCTTTTATGTCTTGCTTCGATTCCCATGCTTTTTTACCATTCCTGAAACCAGTGATATATGATGTAAAACTAACCATAATACTCGGCCGGGAGATTAACCCTGAGGTCGGACATGGGTTTTATCTTGTCTAATGGTGTTCAATGTGATAAAATATCAGTTTTCAATAGGATTACTTGATAATGCGGTCGATATTCAACAAATAGTTCTGATATACCGGTATATGTATATATACAAGTGTATATACTTTCGACTTGATGACCTCATGCTCTGCAGAAAGTAATATAGAAACATGAAATATATGGAGATAATGAACAGTATTCAACATCAAAAACCATAAAACAATACAAATGAGGAGTAGAGCAAACACCGACCTCAAAAACATCAGAGGTGGGATCAGGTTCCATGGAGGAGTGAGCATCCCCTGCCGACCAGTCACATTCGCTGTGTGCTCCTTGTCATAATCAAGAAACAATTGAAAAGTTGCTTAAACATTTACATTGTACAGAAACATTTATCGTTTTGCTTAAACATTTTATGCAATTTAAACTTTAAAAGTATAGATAACTTTTATGAGCAAACTATAATGTGACAATTTTACAAAGATGCATTTAAGATACATTTGTACGCAGGTGATGAATAATATGGTCTTAAGGCAAATTACCAACTACAAACCACGCCCGACCATTATTTTATCTCTTCCTTGTACTAAGGAAGTTCAAAATAAAGAAGACGTATAGCATATTTGATTTTGAAACCTAAGGTTTACTTTAAGAATAGTCAATTTAAATATCGCTATGAAGAAAAGATAAAAGAAAGCAAAAGAAACTTTTTTATGTACATTTATTTTTGATACTGAAAATTTCTTTATCTCTACAAACCAACATTATTATCTTTGAGGTTAACATTTAAGTCCATTTTAAAAGGTAAAATATCACTAACTTCTGTTTATGTTAAAATTTCAATATTTCTATAATAAGAAAATATGCAATACGAAACATGAAATTATTTTACATGAAATTAATTACTTTAAAGAAATTTGTTGGTGTGATAACGGTATCGAATGTAAACATATTGAATATGCGTATTTAATGTCATTTTTTCAACTAATTACTATTATCTTATCAAATTTAAATTTTTTTTTGTAAGCACTAACTTTAAAAACATTAGTTTTTAAGGTTTGCATGATCTTCTAAATGTATAAAAATATATTTATTTAATTAGTATATAAATATCTATATAATTGGATATCATTCTATGTTTACGGTCGCACGGTCAATATATTAATCTTCTATAGGTTAGAGGTATGATAAAGAATCAACTGAATGGTCGGTGTACTCTGCACCTTATAGGACATCTACTTCACAACTACATGACATCTTTATGATCTGGTGTTTCTTAATCTTAAAATTAAATTGGGTTATACATTGAATTAGTACTTTGATTTATATTTTTGGATAGCTAGTACATTTCATTTCTAGATTTTTAATATTTCTCAAAGTCTAAAACGTTCCATATTGTCAAAGAGTTAAATTTACAAATATACGTCAGCCTTTTAAAACTACGCAATTTTGGAGAAATTTGCAGTATCAGAATATTGTATTTATGAAAAGCAGTCTTTAATTATGCATTTAAGTGTTAAAAGGTCCTGTAAAAATTAATACCTGTTTTGTTCATGTTGATATAAGCTATATGTGACAATTCTTGATCAATAAAATTCAATTATAAATTTTTCAATGCATGAGTAATATTCATTCTAATCATTTATTGCTTTAAAGCTGCTCGTTAAACCTTACCTCAAATTTGAAAATTCTCATTCGTCTTTTATAAAGGAAAAACAAACACTTTACAGATTTACGTTTTAATTGAAGCAGATTTATAGAAACATTTAATGGTTTTGCAAATAGTTTTGTATCCATACAAAATGTGCATCTGTGCACTTGTTAAGGAAAACTACAGATTATTAAATCAATAGGAACAGATAAAATTAACCGATAAGAGATTCCTAACGTTTGCAGCGAAATAAATTGGAGATAACCAACAAGATTCCGCTCAAGAGTCCATTTGACAATACATATCAGGAGCAGAGCAAACAAGGACCTCTAAAACATAAGAGGTGGGATCAGGTGCCATGCAGGAGTAAGTATCCCCTGCCGACCGGTCACACCCACCATGTGCTCCTTGTCATGATCAATAATAACGAAAAAATCCATCGACAGTTAAGTGTTATTATAATGGCCTAACAATTAGTATAGATAACTAATTATAGATTGTTTTTGCCATTGTATCGACCACAAAATTTAGGAAATGGATGGTGACATTAAACGAGACTGCTGATACTTTTTTTATATCTTGTTTTAGAAATCATTAATACCTAGAACATGCTCTTGCAAATCGAATTACTGAAAGATATAAACCCCATATGAACAGGTGAAAATGTACAATAATGCATTTTAAGAAACTGAATTTGACGATTGAAAAGTGAAAGAATGTTTACTATCAACAATCTGATGCATATATCTGGGAGGTCATTTTTTTTTCAAAATTCTGGAAATGACTCAAGAAAGTTTGATGTTTTAGAAAATTATGGAATTTGTACATTACGCAAAAAAAAAAAAACAAAAAAAAAAACGGGCTGATAAGAAAATGAATATACATGAATCATTTTCATGTCACAAGAGATCATAAGCCCATTATTTTATATTCTGTGTAATAACTCATTTTAGTGAAATATACGTTCCCGAAAGCCAATAGAGTAAGAAGCCCAGCAAACTCATGCCCAACAAGAAAATGTAATTTAACTCATCTTTATCCATCAAATAAAATCCCGAATAACTGATATTTTACTTTAAAATGCGAACATTTTAAACCCATAAAAACGAAATATTTCAAAAACTTGTTACGTATACATGTATATTATGAATATCGTCAACAAAGTTTGACAGATCCTTTCTATTATTCTGTTAAGCAGTATTAAATAGCCATTCTGTGTATGGTCCTTATTTATCATGTCTAGAGAGATAAAGAGAGCAAAGGTGGTTCAACGACAAAGAAGATCAGGAAATAACATAGTGCATTCTTTCTAAATAACCTATATCAATTTCTTTTAATAAATCTGTCTTTTCAGAGAATTACAGCGATGACCCTTTACACCTCTTGTAGTTTATGAACATAAAAATATTTAGTTAGGAGTCAAAAGTCAACTCAAACCAAATACTTCAATGTAATAAATCCTTTTTGATAATCTGTTCACCAAACTCTTAACTTCAGTAAAATATTGCTTGACATCTTTAATCGTATTGAATGTAAATATTGAAATATGATAAAGAAGAAATTATAAATGTTCCTATTAAAGTAAGTGTTCATGCTTTCCTCGCGAGTTTGAGAATTGACGATAGATTTTATTGGTGTGTTCACCTTACCAGGTGATAAAAATGCAGGTATGTGAGGTTTTACCGCTGTGATCGATTTAACGGGAGTTTTACAACAAGGAAACTTAAACAATCATGCCCGTTTGTATTCAGACTCAGCTCAAGAGAAAACAGTTTTGATAAAATTAGCCGAATTCGGTGAATTAATCTTATCCCGCTAAAAGATATCGATTCTTACGGTGACAGGCCCTTCATGTCCAAAGAAACTGTGATAAAACACAGCTAGAACAACAGAGGATTTAAAGAACATTTCTCAAAAATTTCTTACAAATATAGGAATACTTAAAGCGTTGTTTTTTTCTGTGGTTGTTTTGTGTAAAATTGGAAAAATAAGTACGATTTTTTTTTATCATATGATGGAGAGATTATTTGCAGTAGTGCTTTTTATAGGATTTAATGGAGTTGCGTCACAAGGTATGTACCTGTCCTGTAGAAAAGTGAATTTCTTAACTATTTACTCATTTTTGAACAATAAATTCCCAAACTTTGCATTAAAATATGTATAATATTTTTTTCATTTAAGTTTGAAGTGAAATGCTGTTAGCATATATTATATGATGATCGAAAATCGAACTGTGAGCACTGAGGTCACAAAATTATAACCCCGCCTCCCTTATGTTTATAATGACATGTCCAATGTTTGCTATCGGAAACCCAAGATATGTGTCTGATGATTTTGTGAACGTTTCATTAAATTTTATTCAGTAGTTTGGAGGAGTTGTGGATAAGAGGTGGGAACCCCTCTGTTTTGTAGAATAAATTGGCATAACATGTTATCGGAGAACTAAACTATGTGTGCGAACAAAAAGTAAAATGGAAGGTGCATAATGGCATTTTATAACATAGATTCAGTGAAAGTCTCAATAAATTAAATTTCGTTCATGGTACAAGGGGTTTTGCAAAAAATAAATGGCTACTCCAAAGCATGATGGATGCACAGCATATCCCGATCACTATATATGCCATTGCTTTTCAAATGGGGGAGGGGGTTAACAAAATACCACATTCACACAGTATTTTGTACTGAATGTTCAACTTCTTGAGTGGTCTTGTATTCACTTATCTGAGGTGTTATCAGGGCATCTTTCAATAGTTGTTACGCAAATGTTTTGTGGGGAAAATATACCTGAATGATCAAGAGATTTTGCTTTCTATATCCAAGATCTTTTTTATGAATTTGCATATTGCGTCCTCCAGCCCAGCCATACCCCGGTATTCATTTCCCAAAGATCTCTTTAAACTAAGCACAAGATATACATGATATAATTCGTAGTATTATTTCTTATCTAGGAAACCCATGTCGTCCAATTCCGTTTCCAATGCAAATTTCCTTTGATGAAACCTCCTTACAAGGTAAGTATATTTTTCACAAGCCTGTTCTATTACATATTGTTGTCGAGTTATAAGCTGGTCATAAAACGTTATTTGTGTTTCTTTTAATTCAAGGCGCTATCATATTCACTGGGGATGAAACAAATCATACGACACAGAAATGGTCTATCACCGAGAGTGACCCCAGTGTTTCGTTACAATTCATTAACAACACTTATCAAATAGCATTAATTAGACCTGTGGATCTGGATGTATCAAACGTAAGAAATATATAATTTTATGTTTTTATGTTTCGTTTTGTTTTGTTTTTGAAAACATATAATATAATGATGGGATATTAATAAACATTTGTCCATGTCTTTCAATTTTCTTCAAACAAAAACTCTTCGGTTGATATCTTAAATTACTCGAGTTCTCAATGGAAATTTCTATGTGGTTTACGGATATACCAGGTCGTCTGAAATTCTAATCGAATTTCCATAGGTTCTAATAGGGTCTTGTGATAAGCAGACCTGTTTTCATTCATGTGATGCAGAATCTATTCAGAAACAACAACATGAAAAAAATGACATTTAATAAATTATCAATGTTCAATTACATTTCTACATCAATTTGATATATCGTTTTGAAGTAAAGGAACCACCGTCTGAAAAATATGTTCTGTATATAAATATAGACGTTTTGATAGAAAAATACGTTAATGATATAGTAAATTAACAGCAATTCTTAAGATGTTTCAACTTTTCCTATCTATGTAGTAAAATGTACCTTATCATCTGCAAATAGAGTTTATGTCTTCTAGTTTATTCGATTTGTTAAAGCGACCTCTGCATACAAATCTTTTTTTTCATATCGAGACTTGTTATTGACAGATAGGAAGATATGCAATGACATCACGGATTTCTCTTAAAATCAATTGATGTTCAACATATTCCATGGTCGATACCATTACCTTGCTTGCAAAAACCATCTGTCATCGTCATCGAATGTCAACTGACACTTTCAAAAAAAATTTCACACCATTGTGCTTTCATTGAAAATGTTTTCATACTAATTTATATATACCCGATCATGAAAAGAAGCATACAGCAGGTGTGACCAGGGATCCTTACTCCTCCTATAATCTGATCCCAGTTCTGTTTTAGAGCTTAATGTTTTTCTCTGCTCCGAAACTATATTGTTCCGATGGACTTTTGGGATTAATGGGCTTTTTTCATATACAGTACCACATTCTCTATATACTGGTATTGTGCGATTAGATAGGTGCAAAAGATTATCATATGGTGTGTTACATGCTTAGGTTTCATCTTTAGGTTTCATCTTCAGTCTCATTGCTAGTATTTTGTAAGATTGTAAGCTATATTAGAAAGCATTTCAAGATATAGACATATACCAGTAATGAATATTTATCTTGTCAGAGCAATGTATATTTTAATTTGTAGCTTAACGATGTATGTAATTCTGGTCTGGAGCAATTCACACAAAGGGTAACGTGTAATGAAAATGGAACACCAGTAAGTGTTTACAACTCTGAAATAACATCATACCTTTATGAAACTTTTTACCTTTATCTATTGTTATTTCTCAAAAATTCAAATTTTGTTGCATTAGGACGATGAATATATAGTGTTTCGTGTCAATCCAGTGAACGAATATCCACCCGTTGCTATCAAAAATAACACTATCAAGATACAAGAGGTTCGTTACCTTAGATGTAATACACATGTAGTGATATTTTGATAATTTGATGAGATTACTTTCAAAATATAAAGAAAACAATTATGCTGTTTAGGAAGAAAAACTGATTCCAAAGTTCATCGCTCGTATGTTGGATTACTTTAAAGACCGTGACTGTCCTAAGGTCACTCCTATGGTCGGCATCTCAAAGACTACTGCAGGGGTGAGAGAAAATTTGTCTTCTGCTAATTTTATGTTTAAAAAGAAAGAAGTTTCAAATTTTAAAGCAAGTGTGAGTAAGAACTATTGAATGTTTGAAACTTGACAGAAATGTTTAATTCAAGTTAGTGTTTGGTCTTTTTTACACACTAAATTAATTACGGATTTTTTTCGTTTACCTGATCAGAACAAAGAGCACACCGCAATAGTAAACAATCAAGAGGGGAAGCTTACTCTTTTGAATCACTTTATCCAACCTCTTATGCTTTATGAACATTTTGATTTCACAGATTTTAAGGTTCTAAAAATCCTAGTCGACATGCTGCAATTATTGATACTTGAAAGAATCAATAAAATAGTTTTAACTTCTCAACACTTACTAGTATTGGAACACAATTTATCAGAGTCGATTCACAGGTGTAATGAATCAGACAGTGCAGCATTTTTTTGTTGAATTACACTTTACTTCTGGGTTCTTTTGTTCGTTGTTTCTTTTTTTCTACTGTCTCGAATTAAGTGTTAACATTGGGGCACTTTCAGTCAAATCATGCACAAAGCGTTTAAGAAACTCAGATTCATCAAACAAAAAAGAGGTTGCCTTAAGAATTACTAATATACATTTATTGACTGAGTTCGAGGGCAACATGCGTTTTGTCGGCCCCAAGAACCAAACTGTCTGCCTGAGGCCGTTAGGCCGAAGGCAGACAGTTTGGTTCGAGGGTCCGACAAAACGCATTTTGCCCGAGAACTCTGTCAATAAATGTTTTGTTATACCTTTCATTTTATTATATATTTTTTGACATACATGAATTTTGTACTATACTCCGTAATGTAACATTAGATCTGTCACTGTTTAAAACCAAAGAATGAAAATGAGATTAAGCTCCGCCCATTCTGTGACGTAAGCGGTCCAACATCTCACTCAGCGGTCCAACATCGATTTTTTTATGCCCGTTCAGCAAAACATTACAAATGTTAGACTTTTTTTCTGTATAGATTTGTATAGGAACAATTTTTAAAGGTATAACAACAGTATATATGGCACGCCAAATTCACAAAAATGAGCTAAACATAGTTTCACAGTCGATAAACTAGGTTTATCGGTTGTAAACTATAGTTTACGGACTGAAAACTATAGTTAACAACGTTAATCTATATTTTACATCTGTTAACCATAGTTAACGCGATAATCTATGTTTCACAACCGTAAACATACTAGTACTTAACACTGAAAACAATCAATTGCGATTGCAAAACACAGACTATCTGATAAATACAGTTTCACGATTTGTAAACTATAGTTTACAAACCGTTAACTATAGTTAACGATCTGATAAATATAGTTTCACGATTTGTGAAACTTATAATGATTAACAACTCTTAACTATAGTTTACGATTGTAAACTATAGTTTACAAACGTGAATCTATGTTTATTAACAAAATCTATTGTTGACGCTTATTACAGACAGATAAACTTAGATTAGCATTCATAAACTATAGTTAACAACTGTTAAATATAGTTTTACAGATGAAAACTATACTTAACAAATCGTTAACTATAGTTTACGGTTTGTAAACTATAGTTTACAGTTTATCAATTGTGAAACTGGTTTAGCTCATTTTTGTGAATTTGGCGTGCCATGAGTATATATTTAGATACATTTACCTTTATCTAGCCAGATGTCAGTGATTTTTTCACTGTTAACACCACAACAGGATTTCTGAATCAAATAAAGAACTTTGATTACGAAGACACCCAGATCCAGTGCGATTTGGGAAAAAGTGGAGGAATCTTAAATATCACTGCTGAGGTAAGCACTAGTGAAAATGACTGAGAATTTGTCTAGAGGGTCGAAAAGAACATTTGGGAAATAAAAATTGAAACAAAATACTTACAATATCTTGTCATTACTTTTATCAGGACGGTCCACATAACGTGTATACAATCCTGAATGTAAATTTTACTAACCTGGATGACACACCCCCTGTGTTTGTCAATTATGACTGCTCTACAACATGCTACACTTGTCCAGTTCCGGGTATTTCTGTCACCATTGATTACTTCGATCAGGTAAAAATGATCCTAATTTTAAAAGAAAAAAGGAACAATATTAGCTAAAAAAAATGTGAATCATTTTGAGATTTTTAACACAGCAATATTATAATAGCTATTTTAGTTAAGATTAGTTTTCTGAGGTATGAGATGTGTTTTTTTTTTAAATTCAGCTTCAAAAATATCCTATGTTGCTTTTTCGTAGGGTATTATTAAAACTGATCCTAGCAGAATAAAGGCTATAGACCCAGACACTCCTTCGTCAAATATCACGTACAATTTAGAGGGTAAGTATCTAACATACGACTGGTAATTCTTCTTTTAAATAATAACAGTTCTATATATAATATCAATTAAACTTTTAAACTTGCAGTTGATCCTGCTAAATACATAGACAATATTGAGTTTGAAAATGGTAGTTTCATTCTCAATCAGTCGTTTGCAAACTTCTCCAACTTCGGTGAATCTTCAGACTTCAGTGTGGTGGTAGTTCTGCAGGTTTGTTCTTTTTTAGCTCTGTGGTGTTTCCTTTGGTATTGGCTAATTTAGATTACAAATAGTTAACTGAATAGTTGGGCTGGAACCTAGTTAAAATAAAAGCTTATTACCATTTGCAGTATTTGCAACTCATTTCATAACGCATGCGTTTTCAGGCTATGGGAAGTAATGGACATAACTCAGACAATTTCACTTTAACCGTAAATGTGACGGTACCCCCACCCACAACTCCCGAACCAACGACAGAACCCCCAACCACTCAACCAACCACTACAGAGGAAGTGACGTCGCAACCGACGTCATCACCCACTACCATCCAACCTTCAACACCAACCACTAGAACGTCTTCAACATCTCGACCCACGACGACCCCCGCCCCCACAACCCTGGCACCCATAGAAAACGCCAACCCAGACAAGAGTACTGATAACAACGTGCTGATAATCGTCCTGCCTATACTGGCAGCTCTGATTCTTATTATTGTGATCGTAGTCATTATTAAGATGAGGAAGTCACAGCCGCAACAGAAATACAACCTCGGGGAGAAGAACGTGAACGGGGACGCAGAACATTATGAGACACCTACAGAGATGGACAACCATGCCTTCAAAGACGAAAAGGAGGGCGTTTGAGGCAGGGATGTCTTTAAATGACAGAATGATTTAGACTTACATTACATTGTCATTATGTGTTGTCATTTTTTGTTACTCAAGAGTCTCATTTTACAACATTATGTATAATTTTGTTCAAGGTGCTTTTTAAGACTATTTGATTACATGCATACATAATCTTAGAAATCCAAGTATATACTAATATTGCAATACAATTAACATATCAGAGTAATGCTGTATACCATTTTCAAAGTGACAAAAATGCTGAATGTTGATAATATTTGATAACTTTTGTTTTCAAAGCTAACAGACTTGTGGGGATTTTGACATAGCGACATCAGTATGAGTAGAGATTTAGTTTGCTATCATGTGAAAGCGGGCCACTAGCTGTGTTGCTTTTTCTCATTTTGTGTGCGGTGAAGGTTTTATCATAGAATGGTGGAGCGTAAAAGCAAAAGAAAAATTGAGGATTATTTTTTTTTACAATGGATATTTTTATTTAGTGTTCTAGTGCAATAAGTGTACACGGTCTTCTCTTTTCATGAAAACACTCAAGTTCATAGTGCCATAATTCAGTGTCGATATTCTTGGATTGATAAAATGTACTACACAATAAATATATATATTTTATAAATTAAGTATCTTCACTTCCATGTTCCATTGCTTTTCTTAATTTTTACTTTCAAACGCAGGCCTTGAGTTCTGAGAACTCTACAATTAGTATGCATGCGTCAGCGAAGCTACAAATCACATTCAAAGTAAGAGTTCATGGAGGATTGCCTCCATCTTCCTCTGATTTTCCTGTGGTAGCTGTTGTGGTGCCATGTGTTGTGGTGGTGATAATTATTCTTGTTGTCATTCTGTTGGTGCGCATGAAGCGATCTAAGCCCCAGAAAAACAAGAAATATCGTGTCAGTACAAAGAGGAAGGAGAAGGAAGACAGCAGTGACGTCACAAACGTGGAGGGAAAAGTCGATGAAAAGAATCCTGGTGTCACGGCACCAGAAAATAGGTTTGTGGATGAACCTGTGGATTCTGTAAACAATACACGGGAAGGAACGGAAAATCCCTTGTTCAACGAGTTTAATGCAACAACAAACATTAATGTGGATTTGGAATCAGATTGAACATTACCTTTTCAATCTTATGTTGTTTTAATTTTGCTATCATATACATGTTCTACACAATATTGCATTTTTTATCAAAGGAAGTAAAAGTAACTGTTATAGGGCCCTTTAACCATTGCTTTTAAATTGTTTGTACAACGAGTTTCCGTCTATGCAAAAACTTTTGAATATTTTAGTGTTTATGGAAACTAGTTCATCAAGTTCTACCGGAAATGCTTATGAATGATCATCTGATGTTTAATAATCTAAAGAAGTATTTTCATTTTCTTTCGAAATTAAAAGAAATCCGTTAGAATTCAAAATAATGGACGCATGTATTGATATTTGTTTTATTTACAAATTTTAGTTGTACATGATAAATGAATAAAATCTCTAAAATATTAAGAATTAATTGTTGAATTCCTGTGATGTTAAATTTAAAATGGTTTTTAATTTAATTAAATTCTGATTGAACAATCAGATTGAACAATCAGAAACGTTAAGGGACCTTATTAAACCAAAGGATATACTACACAGCAGGCGTCAACCTCCCAATTTGAAAAAGATTCTTACCACTGCCAAATTTACATCGAACCCAGAAAAACCGATGGTTTCTAAGTGCGAGGATCCACGATGCGGAACCTGTCAAGTTTTAAAAACCGGCCAAACTATTATTTTTAAAAACGGAATGAAGTTTGACGTTAAATCTTCGATGACGTGTAAATCTAAAAACCTTATATACTGTATGACGTGTCCTTCATGTGAGGAAAATTATATAGGACAAACCGGAACCAAATTAGCCGACCGTGTTCGCGTGCACAAACAACAGATTAAGGATCCGACCATACGAAACACGCCATGTAGTGAACACTTTGATTCTTGTGGCAAAGGACATTTTTATACATTTCCTTTTTACAAAATAAAAGAGGAAAATGAACAATTACGGAAAGCCAAAGAACAATATTTTATAAATCTGTTTAAACCAAAATTGAACTGTTAAAAGGAATTTATATCAAATTATTTTACAATGTACATTTTATATAAAATGTCTCCATTATTGTAAATTTATAATAGGCGCTTAACTTTGATCAGATGAACTGTAAAACTTTATCTGTGCGCCTCATTTAACTGTGATTATTATTACGTCACAATCATTATGTTTAACGTTGCCTACCTAACGTCACGAGAATGACGTCATAATGTAACTTGTTTACAATTTCAAATCTACTGATGAGCCCGCATGGGGCGAAAGCGCTTTAGATAAAAGTTTGAGTTTATCATTTTAATTTGGATTTTATATACACTGTATATATATATATATATATATATATATATATATATATATATATATATATATATATATATATATATATATATATATATATATATATATATATATATATATATATATATAGGTATATCTTTTAAAAAAAGAAACACGAAAACCTTAAATTTAGCTTAAGCGCTTTCATTTCAAATCTTCAGAAGCTTTATAATACGTAACATAGCAACATAACGTCATAACGTCATAATAAGCGGAACATTACATACAAACGTCTATTGTGACGTCATAGTCAAACTTTGCGGGAAAACTGTAGAATGAAAATAATAAGTACAATTTTTACAACAAATATGCTTAATTGTTCAGTCTAGGTTTGAACATATGTATAAAATGTTTTTCTTTCTCACGTCTCTGAATATCACTTTCAGTTGAAAGTTTGTAAAAAGGAAATATAGTGAATTGTTTATTTCCACAAGTATCCAAATGTTCACTCAGAGGGATTTGCCGATATTCCGGAGAGTTAATATGTTGTCGGTGGACACGCACCCGGGCACGCAATTGATTGCTCGTTTCCCCGATATAAAATTCTTGGCATCCAGCACACGTAATTACATATATTACATTTTTAGTGGCACAACATTTATAGAAATGAAAAAACAACTTTCATCGGACGTGGTGTGCGGCACTATTTTTTAGGAGGCGGCAAGCCAAACCAAGGACAGAGGCACATACCACAATTATATCAACAGACAACGCAAATCTAGTTGATGTTGAAGAAACAAATAAAACCAAGGAATCAGTAGAAGTTGATCCTAAAGTGTTTAATCTTTCAGATAGGATATTAACTAAAGCAGAGATAAATTTATTATCTAGAGGCTTGAAATATACACCCACCCCACGTATGAATAACCAAGAACTTAAAACGGACGTAAAGGAATATACAAGGCGACTACGACTAAGGGAATACTTTTACGAGAATAACGACGAATCAACAGAAGATAGTGAAAATGAGGAACCAGAGGACCTTGTTAGAAATAAATCCCACTTTATTCCAAAACGAGGTAGAAATCGAACTCTAGATACGGTATGTGAAACCCTAGATAATATTAACCTACCTAATATTAAGAAAAATATTAGATCTAATCTCACAAAAGAAGAGCAAAAAGCTTTAAATGACTTACATAATGACGAAAGTATAGTTATCAAAGAAGCCGACAAAGGAGGCGGGGTAGTCATCATGAATAAAACATATTACGAACGTAAGATTTTGAATATGATACAGGACCCTAACTACTATGGGAGTATTAATGCAAATCACGAGACAAAAACTTTAGCAAAGATAAAACAACTTGTCAGTGGGCCATCCTCGGGAGATATCACTGCTAAAGAGAAGGACTATCTCACAAACTTTGAAACAAAAGAGAGTCAATTTTACGGATTACCAAAAGTACACAAGTCATCAGAAATCAAAAACGCCATACAAGCTCAGAAAGGAGAATATATTTGCTGTCTAAATCCTGAAGACCTCTCTTTTCGGCCAATCGTAGGGGGGCCTAATTGTTCAACTCAAAGACTTAGTCACTTGTTAGACATTTTATTAAAGCCTTATTGTGAAAAGGTTCCCAGTTTTATAAGAGATGATATAGATTTTATCAACCACCTACCAGAAAATATTCAACGTGATACGAAACTGGTGTCATTCGACGTCGTGAATTTATACACAAATATACCCGTAGACTTGGGTATTAAAGCGGTTAAATACTGGATTGAGAGATACCCAGACTTACTACAGGATCGTTTTGAGCAAGAATTCATCTTAGAGGGACTAAGAATTATACTGCAAAACAATACGTTTGCCTTTGGAACAGAGCATTTTATTCAAACCAAAGGAACAGCGATGGGAACAAAAGTGGCTCCCACGTATGCCACTTTAACGTTGGGATACCTCGAGCAAAAACTCCATCAACGACTAGTCACTCTGTGGGGAGAAGAGGATGCTGAAGCTATAACATCAAAGTGGAAACGATTTTTAGATGACTGTTTCATTCTGTGGAATGACAACAATGAGAGACTATCAATTTTCCACCAATTATTAAACAACTTAGATTCCAACATTAAATTTACCATGGAAAGCAGCGATACAAAATTACCTTTCCTTGACGTTCTTGTCATCAAAGAAGATACAAAACTTTCAACGGATATCTTCTACAAGTCAACTGACACACACCAGTATTTACATTTTGGTTCCTGTCACCCTCATCACACAAAAAGAGCAATTCCATACAATCTGGCTAGACGTTTATGTGCCATCGTTAGTGACGAAAGCACCAGAGATATCCGACTAAAAGAACTCAAGTTATACCTTTTAAAACAAGGATATCCTCAAAACCTGATAGATAACGGGATATTGAAAGCCAAAGGATACGATCGGTCAGAATTACTCTCTACAAAGACCAAGGAAAATAAAACGGATATAATTCCATTTGTACATACCCACAATCCAAGGAATCATAATTTGACCTCCGTAGTACACCAACTTAACGTCGTTCTCAAAACGGACCGGTCAACACAACAAATATATAGAGATGTAAAATTTATTAACAGCAGACGACAGCCCAAGAATCTTAGAAGAATTCTGTGTTCGTCCCATTTTAAGAATAGTTACAAAGTGACCAAGTGTGAAGACGCGCGTTGCGGGACGTGTGCACATATAATAGAAGGATCAACTTATGACTTTAATGGAAGACAATTCACAGTCAATGCAAACATGTCTTGTGCCACTAAAAATGTAATATATGTAATTACGTGTGCTGGATGCCAAGAATTTTATATCGGGGAAACGAGCAATCAATTGCGTGCCCGGGTGCGTGTCCACCGACAACATATTAACTCTCCGGAATATCGGCAAATCCCTCTGAGTGAACATTTGGATACTTGTGGAAATAAACAATTCACTATATTTCCTTTTAACAAACTTTCAACTGAAAGTGATATTCAGAGACGTGAGAAAGAAAAACATTTTATACATATGTTCAAACCTAGACTGAACAATTAAGCATATTTGTTGTAAAAATTGTACTTATTATTTTCATTCTACAGTTTTCCCGCAAAGTTTGACTATGACGTCACAATAGACGTTTGTATGTAATGTTCCGCTTATTATGACGTTATGACGTTATGTTGCTATGTTACGTATTATAAAGCTTCTGAAGATTTGAAATGAAAGCGCTTAAGCTAAATTTAAGGTTTT